CTATCTCGGCGGCGCACGGGCGCCCGCTCCCCCACCGCCTCTCCTGCCGCGGCGCAGATAAGGACGCGCGCGGCTGGGGGCTTGCGCGCGGCCGCCGGACCTCCCACTCGCGTCGCTCTTGGGGATCCGCGCGGCGCCCCCGAGCCTTCTGCGCGGCGCCCCCGAGCCTTCTGTGCGGCGCATCCGGGGCCGTTTGGGTGAGTGGCTGGGGCGCGACCCAGGACCCGGGGCTTGGGGGCGGAAGGACGCGGCGGATCGCCGGCCAGTGCTGTGACCTAGGAAAACTACTCTGCGTCCAGACTTCTTGAAAGCAATCGTGCCCCCCGGTGCCCCCACGCCGAATTTCTTCAGGACCTGGGAGTCAGTTTTCAAACATCTGTTTGCACAGAAATTGCCCCCAGTGTTCGGCCGTCTGTGACCCCCTCAACTGACCCACAGCTGTCTTCCTGGAATGAGTGGCCAGCGCTTCCTTCCCTCTCTTTAGAGCATCCTTTGGCGCTCGTGCGCTCCCCCTCCCCCTTGGTTTGGGGACCTTGATAGAAACTGAAAATGCACATTCAGAAACAACCGTTCTCTCTCTACTCTCTGGGTGTTGCACTCAGGGGCATCCGTGAAGTGTTTATGTTGTGTTGCGGCTTAAATACGCTGACTGGAGACAGTCTGGGGTTCTCTCGGTGCCGCGTGCAGTGCCAAGGAGGAGGGCTGGATGCTGCCGGCTCTGGTTCGACTGTGTGATTGACATTCTGGGTTTAACGATCAAGAAAGGTTTTGAAAGATAGGCGGTCGGGGAGGGGCTTTTCCCCGGGGAATTAGTGGAGGGCAAAAATTCCATATTTTAGAATCGCCTGTACCCTCCCCACACTCCTTTGTCCTCTGCTTTTCAAACCTGGCTTGTTCTGCCCCCATTTGTCATTAGGAGGGTGTGGGCCAGGCCTTCCTGCCCCCACCTCATTTGTGACACAAGTCAGAAATGAAGGGGAAAGGTTTTCTGGAGGGTTTTCCTTGGGGTTCACTTTTGATTTTTGTTGACCTAGAGGGTGAGCGAGCAGCTGAGCCGTCAGGCCCCACTAACCGTCTTTCAGGAAAACCTGAGCTCTGAACGGTCTTACAGGAGGAGCTTGCTTTCCTCCTAAATGTACTGAGAAAGGAAACGTACATATTCTCTCATCTTCCCTGCCACTCACTCCCTTCATGTTTCTAACACCACAAGCAAAGTGGTGCTAGCTGTTGGGTGAGAGGGCCTCTTTGAATTCCCTTAGGAACATTTGCATTCTAAGACTTATTTTGGCTGACCAGCTAAAGACTAGAGACATGGCCCCAGCATGTGAATTAAAAATTTATAGTTCAGTGATGCTCTGTTGAGCTAAAACCTCTCTAGAGGGTCGGTCACTTAGACACACCCCTGATGGCTTATGATTAGCACTCGGGGCTTGAAGAGTTCTCATCTTCAGAGCCTTACGGTGACAGCTCTGTTTTACTCAGGGCTGAACATTGTCAGCTTTAGCAGCTGTCCTCCCTGCTGCTGAGGTCCCCAACCTGTAGGTGGGATGTTAAATACAAACCTGTCTCTGGCTGCCCTGGGAAGGTAGATGGGACCCTTGACATTTTCCAGACAGAGCCAAGACTAATTCCATTGTCCCTGCTGGCAGTTGGCAGCTGTGAGAAGAAGCAAGCTTTTCAGGGCTGCAGCATTACCTGTGGGGTAGCAGACTTGGAGGGTATGCGTTTGCATCTTTGCTGGGAACTGTACCCTAGTAAATGAAATGTTCTTTGTTTATCCTCCGTTTTAATATGTTATGAGACTGTGGAAAGGGTTAGAATGTCTGTCTGCACTCTCTTTTTCCTGTGCCTCTTTGACACTGGAAATCCTGCCCAAAGGGAAAGCCCTATTAAAGCCCTATTGAAGCCAGTAGTAAAAGCATTAGCATCTTAGCTAATCATTGCTGGAGAATTTATTCATTAGAAGCTGCTGGGGGCCTAGGACCCTTATTTGTTACCCTGGGAAAAAATGAGCCAGACAACATACCAGTAACAGTGTTGTAAATTTCATTTTGTTCTTTGGACTTTTAAAAATAACATTCTTTCTCTAGATGGGGCCGTGGTTAGAATTATAGCCGGCTCCTCACTAACACTTGTCACTTTTTACTTTGACAAGCCTGTATCTTGTACTTCTTGTGTGCAATGGGCGGTACTCAAAAGGACTCGCATCCTTTGGAGCTTTAGTGTCAGAAACTAGTGCTGGTTTGAGTGTAGAGTCTTTCTCACTCTCTCTCACACATACACACTCCTTATTTGCTGTGTGAGTTTTAATGGCACATCTGTGGATAGACTTACGCAGCACGGGGGGAGTCCCTGCTTTGTAGGATGGAGACTTTTTTAAGGTTATCGCCATTCTTTTTTTTTTTTTTTTTCCAAAGATTTTATTTATTTATTTGAGAGAGAGACAGTGAGAGAGAGCATGAGTGAGGAGAAGGTCAGAGAGAGAAGCAGACTCCCCGTGGAGCCGGGAGCCCAATGCAGGACTCGATCCCGGGCTCCAGGATCACGATCTGAGCCGAAGGCAGTCGTCCAACCAACTCAGCCACCCAGGTTATTGCCATTCTTAACGGGAATGATCTGTAAACGAGTCAGCATATCTGCAGTTGGAGGTGAATTGGAGGATTAGCAACTCTTTAATACATGAGATGTTTTATGTACAGAAGTATTTTAAACTATGTAAGGGATAAACAGCCAAGATTACCTGTGCAGTCTTGAAAAAAGAAGAGTTCAAATGTAACTATAAACTGTAATTGACAATGAGTCATTGCTTAAGGGGTGCCAGCTATGAAAACAGCCTAGTTATGCCCCTAATGGTAATTATGCAGACTCCTTTTAAAAGCCAGTTGCATCGCAAGTGAACTAGAAGTTGGCTTGGATAAATAATTTCGGTTTTACTTTCTAAAAAATTATGCAGCGGGGATGGCTACACAGCACTGCAGATGTACTTAGTGTCGCTGATACACAATTATAAATGGTTAAAATGGTAAAAAAAAAAAAAATCCAGTTAGTAGCTGACAATACCGTCTTCTACACATGCATAGTTTTCAAAAGTTAAATTTTCATGTTTCATAAAAACATTTGTGCTTGTATTTATTTATTTATTTATTTATTTGGCGGAGGAGGGGCAGAGAAGGAATCTTAAGCAGGCTCCACCATGCCCAGCATGGAGCACAACTCGGAGCCCAACTCCGGGGTCGATCTCACAACCCTGAGATCATGACCTGAGCCAAAATCAAGAATCAGATGCTAAGTGACTGAGCCAAGCAGGCACCCATGTTCTTATAATTTAGAGATAGCATAATATATAATCACTGAGTTTTGAAGAAGGACAAAGCTAGTAGCGTAGAAAGCAAAGAATAGGACTATTAAAGGTATTTTTCTAGCAGCCAGGAGTAACAACATTTTATCCATGAACCCGATACATATTTTAAAGAAAATACAGTACCTGTGAAAGTGAAGAGAAATCATATATACATACGACATTGGTTATTGTTAATAGTATCTTGGTACATGTATTAGCTCATTTATTCTTATGCAAACCAATGGAACAATATATTTTTATATTATAGATAAATATGCTGAGACATAGGTTCAGCAGCCTCCCTCACTCAAACTGCACATCTAAGAAGGAGCAGAACCGAGATCTGAGGAAAAAATGGTCTATTTCTAGAGTCTCTGCTCTTCTTCCCAAGGCAGTCCTGCCTTTTATGCATGGTTCTGTGTAAAGCATTTCATAATATTTGAATTAGTGCTATCAGACAGTTTATACATTTTCCGTTAACCTGTCCTTAAGTCTGAAGAAATGTAGTTGTTTTGATCTCTGTTTCCACATCCGGTCCATAACAACTCAGTGCCAAAAACAGACATTTAAAGGCCAATGAAAACACAAGCCAGAAATATAACTCAAAGACTGTGTGGCTCAGGGATAGATGTGTGGCGGGTATGATGCGAGCAGCATATCTGTGTGTGTGTGTCTTCTCTGCTGAGAGTGTCACAGAAGAAGCCAAAGAGGTCAGCGTGAAGTTGTGGTTGTTTCTGCAGAGTGGCTTAACTAGAATCTAAAGTGATAGCGTTGGCAGCAGTGAGAGAGGTCATGGAATGGATCCCAGCCTCCTAGTTTTACAAAGGACAGAACGGAAGTCTAGGGAGGTGAAGTGACTTGTCTAAAATGTAAGCAGTAAAGTTTGATTTGAGCTACAACATTTAATCTTCACACCTAGTGTTCTTTTCTCTGTTTGCGGCGAGCAGGAACATGGTGGCTCTGAGTCTGGGGGAATGAGTTTGGTTGCTATTTTATCATTTCCAGATGCCCTGCCTCATCTCTGCAAGGCAGAGGATACCCTTTGACCAAGTGACTGGTAGGGGACACGTCCACACAGGAGAAAAGCGGGGTCGTCCACGACTACCTAATGCTTCAGCCATTTGGGTAATTCCCCTAGGGCTCGGGTATCCATTGCCTAAGGAAGAGAAGCCAGTTAGTGAACAAGTAGTTTATTCATAAAGTGAGCGATGCTTGCAGAACCTATAGCAGGTTCTCAATAAATATGTGTTTTATTGATGAATGGAAGGTTTCCAGGTTGGGGTTGTTGGTGCTGCTGCTTTGGCAGCATTTCCAGGCATTAAAATTTTGTCTGGTTCACATTTAGAAAAGTATTAGTCCCTTTTTATGCTCTTTTGGATGTGTTGCCTCTCATGGATTGTAATACCCAGCCGCCGCAGGAAGACCGGCGCTGGGCACTGAAGGGAACTAGCTGGGCACTGAAGGGAACTAGCTGGCATTCAGATGTTTTCTTGTACCGATGTAAGGTTGTTTTATCTTTGTAGGTTTGGAAGATGACACACAACCCTGTTGCCTTTTTCTCTGGCAGCCGACCAGTGAGTGAAAAAGTATGACACAAGTTTAATGTTTGTGTCTGCTTCCCCAAGGCCAAGAAATTATCTCCTTAGAAGGCAACAGTACTATGCATGTTATGAATTGTGTCTCCTTGGTCAGCGATAAAGAGAATGGGACGATCACCACGGCAGCCGGCTTCATGATCCGGGAAACAGCACCACGGCCGCCTCCTCCTCCTCCTCCCCCACCTCCACCTCCACCATGTCCCTATTCAGGGGAGGGCTTTCCTCCCTCTCCTCCTCCTCCCCCCCCACCTCCACTCCCCGGGGGGCCTCCGCTCCCACCTCCCCCTCCAGGACTACCCCCAGCTTCTCACCTGAATGGCTATAGCCACCTTGGTAAGAAAAAGCGAATGAGAAGCTTTTTTTGGAAGACCATTCCGGAGGAGCAAGTTCGTGGCAAAACCAATATCTGGACTTTGGCCGCCAGGCAGCAGCATCACTACCAAATTGACACAAAGACCATTGAGGAGCTCTTTGGACAGCAAGAAGATACTACTACCAAGTCTTCCCTTTCTAGGAGAGGAGGAGCCTTAAATTCATCCTTCAGGGAGGCTAGGGAAGAGGTAAGAATGGATTGGGTTGGGGCGGGGGTGGGCATAATCCTGCACACACTGCATTGTTTTGTGTTTGGAAGGGTGTGTACATTTCTAAACTTGCTAAATCACTGAGAAATAAGATAATGCAAATGCGTGTGCTCTGGAAATGATAGAAAGGGCCTTATATGATGAGCTTGAGCTGACTAGCAGGAAAGTGTATGAAGCGCGCATGCCACATCCTCCCAGACATCCCGGTGGATTATGACCTCACGCTGAGAACATGCTATGTGGGGCCATCGTTCTTTGGCCTCTCAGCACTGCCCTGTCTCCAGCACATCTGCTGCGGTTTCCCCTGGTGGAGCAGTTCTGCCGAAGTCCACATTGTTAGTCTCTGTGGAAACAAAAACCCAAGTTCCTGAACTCCACTAACTGAGAGTAACTGGAACTTTCTGAGACAGAAGGCCCTTTGTTAAAGACACCCTTAACTAATATATGTCTTGAAGATTTTATCAGTATTTTTCTCTCTAGTTTTCCTTCCCTAAGTGTTAGAAGGGAGCCTTCATTCCTAGAGCTCTGGATTGAGCCGTGGCCTTTGTGGAATAGAGATTTCCAGAGAGTTCGAAGCGTAAAGCTGGTTTTAGGTGGATTTCCTAAGAAACATTTCCAGTGAGCAGTAAATGCCTTACACGGAGAACAAAGTAAAGCTGGCAGGTTATAAGAAGTTCACCTCGAAAGCATGGCTTCAGGGCTGCCAATAACCATATATTCTGGAAACTGAGTCAAAACATGCATTTAAAAGTACTCTGTTTAGAAACAAAGTAAATTGAGAAACCTCTGCTTACTAGCAGAAGTACTGAGGGAAGTAGAGATTGAAAGGAAAGAATGTTGAACACCAAAAATGGAAAGTGGGGTGGAGGGGTGGGCAACAATGTATCATTTTTAAAATCTGTTCTACAGGAGCAGAGGCTATAGGTCAAAGATGGAGTGACTCGGGTAAGAGTGGGCAGGGCTCCAGGATGAAGTAGCACCCCTCTACATAATTGAATTCTCAAGCCGACGGTATTGACCTCTTTCCTCTGTCTGGCTCAGGAACAGGTTAACTTCTCTCCATGGGTTCACTTGGGGGGATTCACTTGAAATTGGTGATGTAGTCCCCTGTTGAAATAGCCAGGAGTCTACGAACTATAAAATGCAGAGAATGCTAGGATTAGAATTAAATGTGTACTGTGAAATAAATCTGAGAGGAAGTCTTGAGGACAGCCCCTCATGCCCTCGCCCGCTGAACTCCGACCTTCCCTGTTCTTCCCTTTCTGCAGAGCCCTTTTATTTCTTAGTGGATCCTTTCAGTATTGGACGGAGCAAGAAGTCACTTCCTTAGTACCCTGGCCTTTGCCCCAGCTTCCAGCAGAGACTCCTTGCTGTACCGTAGGGCATTTCTCACCATTGTTTCCTAGCTCTCCTTACTGAATTTCAAGAATTTGGAAGGAAAGAGTGGATGGGTACAGCGGGAAATGGAGTGTACCTCTCAGGAAATCACCTGTAACAACCAGAAGGGGGTCTAGCTCACAATACTGCTGAGGGGGCAGCTACCAGGTTAGAATGCATGGCCTCCCTTATAAATATTTTTATAATATAACATAATATATGATATGATATGATATGATGTAATATAAGTAAATTGATTTTGGAAAATGATAGTTCCAGGGGCTGCTGGAACTCACAGCTTTAGGTTTGCTAATTCAAGAGCAGGTAAAAGCACTCAGGGAGGGAGGGAAGTAGCAGGGATAAAATACACATTACATTTACCGTCTTAACTGTTTATAAATGTGCCGTTCAGTGTCAGGAAGCTCATTGACATTGTGGTCCAGCCGTCACCACCACGCCCCCATAGAACTCTTCCCATCTTACAGAATTGCAGCTCTGTACCCGTTAAGTCCTGTCTCCCCATTCCCTCCGGCCTTCAGCCCCACCAACCACCTTTCTGCTTTCTGTCTCTAAAAATTTAACCATTCTATGTGCCTTATGTAAGTGGGATCATATAGTATTTGTTTCTTTGCAACTGGAACACTTCAGTTCGCATAATGTCGTTAAGGTTCACCTGTGTAGTACGTGTCAGAATTTTAAGGCTGAGTGATAATTCCTCTGTATATATACCACATTTTGTTGATCTAGTCATCCATTGATGGATATGTGGGCCTCCACCTTTTGGCTATTGTGAATATGGTGCGATGAATATGGGTGTGTGACTGTTTTTAACACTGGTAGGTCCTAATCTGAGAGAAGCTGCTAGAAGGAAAAATTAAACCACCATGACCGTGTGTCATAAGATAATCTAACTTTTCAACTCTTTAGAACTCAAGTAGGATGAGTAGTTTAGGTGGATGGATTTGAGTGTCTATTAGGCAATATCGTCACATAACAAAGGGTTATCCAGAATTATTTTTAATTTTTCATGCTATCTCCAACATGGTTAGAAGTATTATATATATAAAATATTTATAAATATGTTAATACTTATAAATAATTCATAAATAATTATATATTATATTTAATTTAAAAATATATAAATTAATAAATATATATATATATATATATATATCGTAGTAAAAGAATACAGTACATGCTATTTTCTGCCCTCATTAGACTTTCTCCTAAGGAAATTATGACTCAGCAGAGTGATAGTTTCACAAGGTCCAGTGATAAGTTTTCCAATTTACTCAGAAGGAGCAAATGGAATCCAGCGTTGAAAGTAGTAGTTCCCGGGGCGCCTGGGTGGCTCAGTGGGTTAAAGCCTCTGCCTTCGGCTCAGGTCATGATCCCAGCGTCCTGGGATCGAGCCCCGCATCGGGCTCTCTGCTCAGCAGGGAGCCTGCTTCTTCCTCTCTCTCTGCCTGCCTCTCTGCCTACTTGTGATCTCTCTCTGTGTGTCAAATAAATAAATAAAATCTTTAAAAAAAAAAAAAAAAGAAAGTAGTAGTTCCCACTCCCTGTCTGCGTGGAGTGGAGAATACCCTAACGAGCACGTTTGGCAGAGGGACCCATCCTGAGCCTGGAAACACAGGCCATGATTTGGAGCACCTCAGGGATCAGATAATGTCCCTTTGAAACATAATAACCTCCTGCAGAAATGGCCTGCCATTATGTGGTTGGCTCCTACTTGAAAGGGCTTATAAAGCATTACAAATAAGTTTCATTATATCCCAGACAAAGGAGTTGCTGGAAGATAAGGAAGACCTGGGTTCAGGAATGGCTGAATTTAGGAAGAACAACACTCAAGAGAGTAAATTAGAACATTTAGTAAGGGGGAGGGGAGGCAAGGTTATGAAATATTACTAACCTTGTGTTTTTGTTACCTAAAAATTAACCCGAGGAGGCTACAAATGTTATAATAATAATTAAACTGTAATAAAATAATTAGAAATAACAAAACTAAATAACGGGGATTAGTAATAACCCAAGTCAGCTCGAACTCCAGAGTTTGCAGAGTTCACTGACCTCTTCCCTGAGATGTTTTCTGTCTGCCTGTTCCCGCTGTTCCCAGCCCCTTCAGCATCGCTCACACTGGTAAGCTGGGTCTCATGTCTCCCATTAGAATCTACAATGCTCTTAAAGGAACGGACAAGGTGCCTGGGTGCCTCAGTCGGTTAAGCATCTGCCTTTGGCTCAGGTCATGATCCCAGGGTCCTCGCATTGAGTCCCACATCAAGCTCCCTGCTCGGTGGGGAGTCTGCTTCTCCCTCTACCCCTCTCCACTGCTTGTGCTCTCTTTCTCTCAAATAAAATTAAAAGAAAAAAAAAAGTGACAGTCTTAGCTAGTTGATATCCTCTAAAGGAAATTAAAGGTAGCTGAGCTGACAGAACTGAACCAAGGGAACAAAGGGGGTGTTTACAATATGATAGATCCATATGATCAAAAGCAGGATTGACAATACACAAGATGAACGAGGCCTGAGGATGTAGTATAAAACAAGGTAACTACAGTTGATAACACTGTGTTGGATAATAGAAACTTGCTAAGAGAAAAGAACTTAAATGTTCTCACTGAAAAGGAGGAACCAAAGATGACCGTGAGGTGGGGGGAGCGGAGTCCTTTCACCATGTTTACGTATATCAAATAAGCATGATGCACACCTTAAATATCTTACATTTTATTTGTTAATTATACCTCAATAAAAGTGAAATAAAAGAAAAAAACCCACAAATGTTGGAATACATGAGATCATTCTAGATGCTGTCTGTAATAATTTTATAATTAAAATTAATACCACCTTATGAGAAATAACTAAAATTCCTTATTAGGAGAAGAGAGCAAAGAAGAGAGGAAGGGAGGATGGAAGGAAGATTGCTTTTTCTAATTTTCTGAACAGTAATAACTTATTCTCCCACTCCAATTTATTCTTTCTCAACTTTTGTTATGTTTTCAGTATGTTCCAGAATTCTGGGACATGCTCAATCCAGAACTATAGAACTAGACGAGTATTTGAAATACATTTGAAAGGAGGGGGAAAAAAAAGAAGCTTCAGCTAGGTTTTTTTTTGTTTGTTTGTTTGTTTTAAGATTTTATTTATTTGTCAGAGAGAGAGGGAGAGAGAGCGAGCACAGGCAGACAGAATGGCAGGCAGAGGCAGAGGGAGAAGCAGGCTCCCCGCCAAGCAAGGAGCCCGATGCGGGACTCGATCCCAGGACGATGGGATCATGACCTGAGCTGAAGGCAGCTGCTCAACCAACTGAGCCACCCAGGCGCCCCTTCAGCTAGGTTTTTATCCCCACCCCCACTGCCCCCCAGCCTCGACCCAGGCTGGAACATTTCCCAGTTGGCAGCCAACCAAAATGAAAAAGAAAATGAAAAAAACAAAACAAAACAAAAACATCAAAAACCAAAAGTTATGTCTATATAAGAGGATACAGGAAGATTTTTTTAAATTTTGCTTTTTCAAATTTGACATAGCATTGAAATATCCACTACTTAGTGGTACTTAGAAAGGGAAGCCGTCTTTGACCTATTGAAAGAAACGTGGCTTAACCATTTCTACTGCCTTGAGGACATCATGCTCAGTGAAATAAACCAGTCTCAGGAGGACAAATACCATATGATTCCACTGGTGTGAAGTTTCCCAGAACAGTCAGACTCAGAAATGGAAAGCAGAAAGGTGGTTGGCAGGGACTGAAGGCAGGAGGGGGAGTTAGGACTTAATGGGTACAGAGCTGCAGTGCTGTAAGATGGGAAGAGTTCTGTGGGGTCGTGGTGGTGATGGCTGGACCACAATGTCAGTGCTCTTCCTGACACTGACCATTTAAAAATGGTGCAGGAGGGGGGGCTCCTGGCTGGCTCAGTCGGTAGAGTATGCCGCTCCTGATCTCGGGGTCGTGAGTTCGAGCCCCACATTGGGGTAGAGATTACTTAAAAAAAAAAAATAGAAGTGGTTAAGATGATAAATGTTACATTTTTTTTCTTTTTTTAACCACAACTAAAATACAAAAGCTGCTTCTTCCTTGAAAGACTATGGGAGGCAGATTGTGTAGGGGATTGCTTGTGGATGAATGTTCTGGAATCATAGAAGAAAAGAGGGGTGCTTAAAGGGTTGCGGTGGAACCAATCAGAGCCCTGCCCGAGTGCTGTAGTCTCAGTGTTTCAGAGGGAGACCCGACAGCCCTGGTCAGCCGGGCCATGTGTGGGGACACTGGTTCTCCAGCAGGGCCACCTCCCATCCTAGTGGGAAGTCCTCAGAACCACGTGAATGGGGCACAGGACGTTGTATTTTGTTCCCTCGTTCTCCCAGGCTGGCGTAACTCTTCGGTGGCCCTTGATGGGAAAGCCTGTGAGCTCTGTAGTACTCGGGCTGTCCCTGCTGTGACAGGCCCTGATTTCAGTGGGAGTCCTGCCTCCCTGCCCTGTGGTGTCCAGAAAAGAAGATTTTGGTCGATTGGAACTGGTGGGCAGGGAGGGAGCTGGGTTAGGCCATCCTTGTTCCTGAGGCTGTCTGTTGTGGCCTGTGCCACCTGCACGAGCACAGTCCGGTGATCTGGGGGATTCCAGAACACCGCCCAATCCCACACACACAGGTTCCTGAATTGTCCAGCTTTGAGCTGGCAAGCATTTGGCGAGTAAGATAAGCTAATTTGCATGTGAAGTGACAACCCATTTTAAAAGACTTTAACAAACACTTTTATAACACTGCTTTAGAAGGATCCGGTGTGACAGCCTGTGAGGAAGAATCAGCTCGCATGCTAGGCAAGTCAGAGGATGCCAGGAGAGAGCAGGACTGCCCCTGGAATGCTATCAGTTTTCCTGCTGTTTGGATAAGGCTCTGGGCTCTCTTTGCCCTATAAGGTGCTCAGTGATGGCCAGCCCAGGTTTTTCTTTAGGAGTATTGCTGAATTCTCTTAAAAATTTTTTTATAAAGTTTTATTTATTTGTCAGAGAGAGCGTGAACACAAGCAGGGAGAGCAGCAGAGGGAGAGGGAGAAGCAGGCTCCCGGCTGAGCAAGGAGCCCAGTTCAGATGAAGGACTGACCTGAGCAGAAGGCAGATGCTTGACCAGCTGAGCTACCCAGGTGTCCCTCTGTTAAACTGGTGGCCAGTTTCTGAAGCTTTGCTTCAAGTGGTGGAGGTAGCCACTGCCCCAGGCTGTAGCTGCTACCCCGAGTCAAGGGGCACTCATGATGGCAGCTCCTAGAGGCTGTCTCAGCTGTAAGAATATGATTTCTATCCATCATCTCCCACATAGAGCTCTGGGGTTGCCAGGGGACTTGGCCAGGCCCTAGGGTTGGCTTTCTTTAGATCTGCCCCCATTTCTGGAGTGGATACCAGTCTGAGGCTGGTGGGGAAGCCTGGCCCCTTCTCTCTATTCCTGTATCCTAGCGATATTCAAACTCACAGGAACTAGAGTGAGAAGGAACCCGAGAGACCCAGACTAGCATTTCAGTTCTCGTGTTGCTTTGGGAAAGGGATAACGTGACATCTCTGACATCTCGGTTTCCTTATCTGTCAAATAGGAGTGAAAAGAATAATTTCTCCATCCCTTTTCCAGGGGCAGGAGCTATAAACCTAGGTCGGGGACATGCAGTGTCAGGGGGTCATGGGTGGGGCTTGGAGTTGGGGGCGGGAGAGGGTGCTGCCATCCAGGGTTAAATAGAGCAAGAGGTGGTGATTTAATGAGAGAAATAAGAAAGAAGTTTTTTCCTCATTCTCGGTAGAGGTGAGTGCCGAGGGAGTCCTTTGGATACGAATACTACTGTATCAGTATACGTGTTCTTACTTGTGGCTTTTTAATTGATGGATTATAATATACACTTGTTTTCTGTCGTACTAAATTTAGATTCCTCTGTTTCGTATGCACTTTCCTCTTTAAAGGGTGTTATGTTTGACAGGTTTTATTCTCTGCCCGTTTTCTCCCCTCCTTTCACACTGAGCTTGAACTGCAGTCCCTGGGTAGGTTTCCAATAAGGAGCCTGCCCGGTGCGCCTGGGAGTTTATTTTATGGCTGGTAGGTGATTGCACAAACATGAAATAAACCCCTAGGATGGTAAATAATGTGATTGTTTAAGATCAGCCTTCAAAAGAAGGCAGCCACACTCCCGTAAAAATTTAACCTTATAGCCAAGAAGTGCCATTAAATTTGGTTAACAGTTCTCGATGCTGCTAAGAAACTTACAAGCAGGCCTAGAGAACAGGAATTTAATCTGAAACCTGATTTGCTTTTGTTCACAAATGAATCACATACATTTGGAAAGGAAGAGAATCATAACAACATTCCTGTTTTAGCTAGTCTCCCTTTACCAAAAAACAGTTGGAAAAAAAAAAAACTATGGCAGTGTTAAGGTGATCTTTTCCTCCATGTATCTTGGATGTTTCCTTCCAGAGAAAGAAATGGCTTCTGTATGAATGTTTATGTATGTATGTATGTATTTATAAAGATTTTATTTATTTATTTTAAAGATTTTATTTACTTAAGAGAGAGAGAGAGAGCCCAAAGGAGGTGAGGGGTAGAGGGAGAAGCAGACTCCCTGCTGAACAGAGAGCCTGATGTGGGTTTGATCCCAGGACTCCTGGACTCTTGGACTCTTGGACCCCAGGATCATGACCTGAGTCGAAGGCAGACACTTAATCAACTGAGCCACCCAGATGCCCCGGCTTCTGTTTTTAATAACAACATCCTCCCCACCCCCTGCCGAGCAAAGTTTCTGTCTAATTTCTAGTCTGATAAAACCCTGCCCAATTTTTCATTTTGAACAGCTAAAACCTATTGTAGCCCAAATCTGGGTTTTGACAGTATATTCAAATGGCACCATATTTCATTAAGTCGAAGATGCTGTGCATTGTCAGACACATCCTGATTCCAGTGATGTTAATATGCATGGTTAGACTTGGTGAAATATAGCACAACAGTTTTCCTTTTTAAATTCTGAGTAAATAAAACGTAGAAGACTTTCTTACCTTCCCCTGAAGGACAATATATGAAGGACACATATTCTTTCTCAATGAAAAGAAATTTATCTTTTAGAAAAAAATTAATTGTATTACATTTCTTAAAATAACAGTACTGGTCCTTCTACATCCCTAAAGCAGGGTTTGGAACTCTGCAGTTGCTTGAGTTATTTTTTGCTTTCTTAGTTCAAATCTCATATGATCTGGCTATGCTAACACAGCTGTTTTTCAAATTTGAGCTTTTAAATGAAGGCTATATTATTCTAAGAGGAAATAGCTAAATTTAAACAATTTTAATATACATTGTTCATTAATAATTATATAAGATAAGGGGCGCCTAGGTCGTTCATTCAGTTAAGTGTCTGACTCTCGGTTTCAGCTCAGGTCATGATCTCAGGGTCCTGAGATCGAGCCCTGAGTCAGGCCCTGCACTGAACATGAAGCCTTCTTGGGATTCTTTCTTTCTCCCCCTGCCCCTCCCCTAGCTTGTGCACACACACCTTCTCACTCTGTTTCAAAAAAAAAAAAAAGTTATGTAAGATTAAAATAGATATGTATTATTATAGTTAACGAAATAGATCATTGCAGGAAGTTTGGGGAGATGATAATATTTTAAGATTTGCAAAACTGTGTTAGGTATGCCGATTAATAACCAGATTTACACACTGGAAGTTATTCTTTCATAATTAGTGTTGTATTTTGATAGGCTTTACTTCTCTTCTTCCCTCCCAAGTCTTCTCATTTGTGATAGTCTTCTGTGTGTCTGTTCTTTTCCAGATTACTGTCTTGGATGCAAAACGGAGCATGAACATTGGGATATTTCTTAAGCAATTTAAGAAGTAAGGTTTTTGCACATATTTGCAACTTTAGGCATATCTCTGGTGTCAGCATCAGTCTGTGGGTGTGGCTGAGCTGAAAATTCAGCTTCTAACATGAGCGAAATTCATTCCTCATATCTGCCTACCCTCCTTCAACACACGGCGTGATGAGTGTGCGAGTGCCTGTCGCTCTCTGCTCTTTTCCTGCATGGAAGCATAACCTAGTGGCTTGAAGTACAGGCAGAGTTGCCTAAGGGTATCTGTTCAAGCCTGTCATGCCGGGGAATTTATGAATTCACCTATAGTGTTGCCCCTCAGTGGAGGTTGGACTGGTCAGAAGACACTGGTGAAATGCCAGTGTTCTAAAGTGGAGAGGAGAGGCTCGCCAGGGTTCCATGCGGCCAAAGGGGATTGCTTTTCTTCTCCCAGAGAAGACTCCTATGGTTTGCTGCCACTTTCAGCTTTTCTGGGATGCCCAAGGGTGGGCTTCTGGGTGTAGGGGCCTCTGGGCTGTGTGTCGGGACCCCCGCTTTCCCTGGCATTGGGTCTCCTGTGATTGCTGACACAGCGCGTCCCTCCGACTGGGAAGAAGGCGGGATGGGCAAAGGGTCAAGGTGATTTGTTTTAGTTTCCACTGACTTGTGTTTCTTTGGCACTCCAACAGACGTGAAATGGAATCTAATTAATTGTCTTTTCAAGGTCTCCTCAGTCCATTGTAGAAGATATTCATCAGGGAAAGAGTGAGCATTATGGATCAGAAACCTTGCGAGAATTTCTTAAGCTTTTGCCGGAGTCAGAGGAGGTAAGGAATTTGGCACAGGAGTTTTAGATGGTGGGAGTGATGATCAAAGCTCAATATTTTTCAGAGTGTCAGAACTCAACCTGGGAGGGGCCCTCTGCCACCTAGAGCCAGAGTCTTCTCATATACAAGTAATAAAAAGTGACTTAGTAGAGAGAGCATAAATTGTGGAGTTAGGGAACAGATGTCCCCTTGCTTGGGCAAATTTCCTAACTCTGGTGAACTTAGTGTCTGCACCTGTACAGTGAGGGTTTGCTAGGATGCCAAACCCTTAGTTATTCATCAGGCGTGGTACCGGGCACATGGGACCTCAATTAAATTTGGTTTCCTTTTCCATCACCAAAGACAGTTCTTGCTGAGGCCGTATCTAGGTTATTTTATAAATATGTATACCTTATACACACAAAAATAAAAGGAAATCGCTTTTGGATAAAGATGCTTTAAAATTTTGGAGAAGTAGGTAAACTGCTAAGAAATGTTGTCTCTGTAATTGACTTAAAGGGGGAAATTGCTGTGATAGTGGTTTAGTACTGCAGTATAAAGTTAATCATCTTTTTGGGGGGACTGAATTAACTGAGCCGTTGAATGGTTGGAAGCTTTGTAAAATCTTATAAAATTGTAATACTGCCTTTTATTTCTGAAGAAGGGAACCCTGAAAAATTTTAGTAAGAAATGACATGAATATATGCGCTTGCAAACATTTAAATAATGTAAAATCTTACAAAGTAAAAAGTTTAAGTTACCCTTTTACCCACACAGCTGGTTCTTCTCTTCCCCATCCCACTCCTCTTCCCACACATAATTTATGGCATTTGACTTTAGTGCCATAAATAACAAGAGGAGTATATATCTGTACTTCTTTTACATCAATCTGTGATAAACTTGCAAAGCCAACTCGAGGGTCATACTAGCTAACTGAGGATTCTAGGTATATTTGATAATCTGAACCTCTCTCTCTGTGTCAGCTTTTCTGTTTGCAAATTAAGTGTAATTTACCTAAGTCAAGATTAATTACCAGCATTTATTAATGACCGTAAAGGGTCTTAAAGTCTTGAGGGAAAGGTATGTTAAATCATAATTTACCCTGGATCTTAAACACCGAACAGCCCTTAGTCTTTTTTAATGTAGAGAATGAGAGTTTCAGAGTTCTTTAATTAGGATGGCTAGGGTTTAATTAATTTGGATTTTAAAAAGATTGAGTTGTTCTTGAAATCTTACTCCCCTTTGGGCTTTTCTCGTGCCTCCTCCTTAGGACTTGCTGTGGTGCTCACTCCTGCCTGACCTCATGCCTTATTTCAGTGAGGGTCACATTTGAGAGCGCGTGTGGACATGCTCCAAAAAGCTCTAAATTTCTAATGAAAGGGACGTTAGGCGGGGTTGGGGGAGGCTGCCAGCTTCGTGCCGCAGTGAAGAGGTGGGAGATTAGGTACAGGTTTTCCTAATACCTTCGTTTCTAATTTTAAATTCAGGGGTGATTAGAGAATGCAAAGGCTGCAGAGGCCTCGGGGATTTTTCAAAGAAGCAACTTAGCTGTCAAGCCTCCCATGTTGTTGAGCTGGGGGGGGTGGCACATAATTCAAGGGGGGGTGTTAAGGGTAAGACGACTGAAACCCACCCAAGTGCTGCACTCACTCCCCTCCAGACAGTTAGCCAGCTCCAGAGACAACGTCCTGCTGGGATGAGACAGAGCCCTGAGACTGCCACCGAGCCAAAGGCAGCTGCTTCTCCTGTCCCCCTGTCCTGCCGCAGGGTCATCCTTAGCCTGAATACCCGACAGGCTTGGTCACACTTCTTGTTTACATTACCGACTCTGGGCTTCAGTTCACCACGCCCTCCACACTCAACTGGGAGCTTCCTTCAGCGGGAACACCCTGACCATCTCCAGGGCTTCTTGGCGCCCCTCCCTGAACCACTGCGGGAATCTGCAAGGGCGTCTCCGTGCCTGTGGAAGCCACCTTCTGACAGATGCCTGCTGCGGGGACCCACTGGCCTCGCTCTGAGGGCTGCGTGGTCCCCAGAGCCACCCGGACCAAGGCCAGCCCCCAAGTCTAGGGTAGAGGGTGGAGGATAGGGGTGGGGCCAAGGGGGAGCCAGGGCCAAGTGAGAGAGATTTAGGAATGTGGCAGAAATATGTTAATAAGTGCACCAGTGTTTGTGTAACCACATGTCGCTAAGCTTGGGGTGTAGTGTTCTGTGCTCATTTTTCGCACAGGAAGGGACTGAACATTGACGGAGCGTGTGTGTCCCTGTGTTCCAGGCACTGGGCAGGGCAGAACAGAATGCAGTCGGGCGAGATAATGGGATCAAGTGTGTAGTCCGGTGTGCCTGGCACGTAGAAGGTCACTCCGTTGCAGCTCTGATTATCTGGGGTGCCTTTGCCACTGAATCCTCTCGGCCACATTATCAGACAGTCCTCAGGGTACAGATGGGAAACTGAGGCTCACGCAGGTTCGCTGGAACTCCGCTCGTGTGTCCCATACTCAACAGGCCAGAGGGGAAAGTGGATTTGCACGTGATTCATCTGACCCCAGCACAGTTCCTTCTGTGGCACTCCGCCGCATCCCTTTGAGGAAGGAAGGGCAAAGGTTCTCACAACCCCACCCCGCACCACCGTGGGCCTCCCTCCAGCTCTTTCATCGCCCCTGCTCCAGAGCGAGCACCAGGCGAGTGTCGCTTGAGTGATACTGTCATCTTATCAGCATGTTGAAAAATATGAGCGGAAACAGCCCTTTTCAGTCGTGCATTCTCAGCTGACAAGCCAGAAGAAGGTTAATTTGTTTTTAGGATTTCTGTGCCCTTCCCCACAGATCTTTTATCTGGCATGTTTTTTTTCATTTTGCCCTAAATGTTTGCACAGTTAAAACTTGGAGAGGAAGAAGGCAGGCCCAGAAATAAAAGCCCTGGGAGGGGGTTCTTTGCCCTGGAAAGTATTCCTGTGGGCAGAGAGGGGACAAGGGAGAGGCTGGTGCAGGAGCGGGGTGGATGGTCAGAAGGGAGCCCAGATGCAGCCTGCAAGCCCTTCCCTCCCTTGGGGGTGGGGCCCCACCGCTGTGTCACTTTCAGGGACAGAGGGCTGGAAGGGGGTAGAAATTTCCTGTTCTCTCAGGCAGCAGGTTGGTTGCCGCCTCTGACATTTTTATCCCCTCCTCCCAACCTTCTATACCAATTCTGCCCCTTGTTGGGGAGAATGACAGAGAGGAAACCCCAGGGTCTTCTCTTGGGTGAACCTGTTGGTGGGAAATCTCGCTATTTCGATGCCGTGTGAGTGGAATTAGATGGGACGAAGGAGGTCTGCCCTTGGGAATGTGTGCGTCTTAAGGAGCATGCTTTCTGCTGTTAGGACACAAACTGGGCACAGCCAGGTCATAACGAGAGTCACTTGGCTCAGCCAACAAAATTATGCCTAACAATGTGTGATAAATGCTTTTTCATGATGACGAGAATGTACAATAATTATAGGGTTTGTTCACCTCTCTTTTTTACCTCCCTACCGCTGTGAAGGTACAATAATCCCTCTTAATGAACGAGTCTCATTTTGAAATGGAATTAACGACTGTATACATGGCATTTAAATTAAATACTATCTTTCCATCACCATGCTCTTGAAATCCATAAACATTTTTAGCTCTTTATGTAAGTGAAGGAGATTAATCTTTGTTCAGTTACAGCTTGAGCACATGTTTAATAGAAATATCTACCAGGTTTATTTAGTGTGACCTATTCTATATGCTTTAGACAGAAAATTGCACTCTTCTTTTCAGAAGCTTTGCACATGCTGAGTTGATGGTCTTAGAAAAGGGACAACCTCGCTCTGCCCCTTTCCATATATAGTGAATTGCTAAACTCTAGTTCAGAAAGGATCGGGACCTCCTCCTACGGTTTTCTCCATTCAGCAGCTAGGAACTGACTTGAGTTTAGCTCAACCAGAAATTTCATCTGCCCCTAAGTCAAATAAGCCTAAAAATGGGAAATTCAGTTTGGGGCCCTAACGGTAGAAGTAATGCCGTTCTCCCAATGGCTATTTTCTGCCCATTTTTAAAAAAATGTAGTCTTAAGCATCAGACTTAAGTCTGGGGTGTCCATTGGCCCTGTACATTTTGTATTTTCAGATTGTTGATGTAGACACTTCAGTTTGTGGATCTTTGCAAAACTCCCTGCTCTGTGTTTTGGAGCTGTCATTTCCTATTTCTCAAGACACTGAAAAGGCATGTTATTTTTATGGGCACCCGCCATGATCCCAGGGATGGAACAGAGTAATCTTTAAAAGACTAATGAAAGATGGTGAGTGCTCATTGGCAACAGTTAGCTGCAGAGGTGGGCTGTCTACTTTACTTGTAGTCCCAAGGTTCGATTTACCGTAAAGTATTCTTGTTGCAAGACGCTCTACGACAGTGGACATAGTAGAAAAGTTCCCGTCGCTGGGCTGGTCCAGTTCTCTGCGTGATGGAGGTGCTGATTTGCTCTGATGCAGTTTGAGAACTTTCTCTTTGCTTCCATGCCCCACTGCTAGCTGTTCGGCTGTATTCCTGGGTCAGAACTCTTGTTTCTCTTTGCTGCGGTTAAAAGGATAATTTTGAGTTGAGTTTAATTTTTTACAAGAGTAATCCATGTTCATACAGACATTTTAGGACACAAAAATGAGCAGCAGAAGAAAATAATAAACCTATCACCTTGTGTAGGTAGGGGGAGTGCATTCTAGTCTTTTCCTCCACACCTGTGGTATGTGTATGGAGAGTGGGGGTCGCAGTGGATGCCTCTTGTAAAATTTCTAGAAATGGGATCTGAACGTACATTGTTTTATTACCTGGTCATTTTCAAAGGGGAGGTTTTGACATTGACCCCTCAGCTGCTTAAGCCCTGTTCCTTTTTCTCTTCCCACTGGACAGCAGGTGTGTTCTTGCCTAAGCACACAGCAGCCGTTTGGTGTAAGGTTGTTCTGTGTGGAGGGGGGATTTGGCCAGAGAAAGGTCTTTTAGCCCTCCCCCAGTCCGAGTATTTTATATCCAAAATATCCAAAATATTGAGATTTTTTTCATTAGGGACCTAGAGGACCGTGTTAGAATGACAACCCAGTGTCCTCCTCTTTCTCCCAATGATCTCCTTTCCAGTTTATAACTTACAGAACATTTCCATCCTTAGAACTGACCCTTCCCTTGAGGACTCCTATGTCTCTAATTCTCCAGACAGACTGAAGTTATTTATACCCACACACATGACACAGCTCTTCTTCTCATTTGTCTGGTTTCTCTTCTTTCAAAAAAACATAGTCATTGTGATGATTTCCTTTTCTGTCTTTTCTTGGGTCTATATTTTTATTAATTTGAATTTAGTACTGAAATCTTACTTTCTTACAGGGATTCTAAGATGAAATTTAAAATAATGTATTTTAATCACAAGTTATTTTCTTTTTCTCTATTCTCTGTTTGTCTTTTAGATAAAGAAACTGAAAACATTTAGTGGAGATGTGTCCAAGCTGTCCCTGGCGGACTCCTTTCTGCACTACTTGATTCAGGTGCCAAAGTAAGGATTGTCCATCATTGTTCCTCACAGAGAAAGGGTTCAAAATCAGTGACATCAAATGCTACAGTTTTACTTTTTTTTTCTCCAAGACTTTATTTATTTATTGGATAGAGGGAGACACAGCAAGAGAGCAAACACAAGCAGGGGGAGTGGGAGAGGGAGAAGCAGGCTTCCCGCCGAGCAGGGAGTCTAATGCGGGGCTCGATCCTCAGGACCCTGGGGTCATGACCTGAGCTGAAGGCAGCCACTTAACCCACTGAGCCACCCAGGTGCCCCTACAGTTTTACTTTTTATGTTTCAGCTATTCACTTCGGATTGAAGCCATGGTGCTAAAGAAGGAATTTTTACCTTCGTGTTCTTCTCTATACACAGACATAACAATTCTAAGAACCGCGACTAAAGGTAAGTGACCACGTGAGGCTTCATGTAATTTGTTTTTATTAATTTTGGTGGGAGCACTTTATTTTAGTTTTTATTCTTTTTAGTAAGCTTTCTTCTGATTTTTAAAATCAATTTATTTCTTTTTCTTTCTTTTTTTTTATGGTTTTTTTTTTTAAAGATTTTATTTATTTATTTGACAGAGAGAGAGAGATCACAAGTACACAGAGAGGCAGGCAGAGAGAGAGGGGGAAGCAGGCTCCCCGCTGAGCAGAGAGCCCGACGTGGGGCTCGATCCCAGGACCCTGAGATCATGACCCAAGCCAAAGGCAGAGGCTTTAACCCACTGAGCCACCCAGGCACCCCTAAAACCAGTTTATTTTTTAATGCCAGTGTAGTTCACACACAGTGCTCTCTTAGTCTCAGGTGTACAATGTAGTGATTCAGCAGTTGCCCACAGCACTCGGTGCTCATCACGAGAAGTGTACTCTCCATCCCCTTCACCTCTTTCCCCCATCCCCCACCCACCTCGCCTCTGGTGACCACCAGTTTGTTCTCTAGAGTCCAGTCTGGTTTTTTGGTCTTTTTTCTTTGTTTTTGTTTCTTAAATTCCACGTATGGGCAAAATCATAGAATTTGTCTTTCTCTGACTGACTTATTTTACTCAGCATTATACCATCTGGATCCATCCATATTGCTGCAAGTGGCAAGGTTTCATTCTTTTTTGATGGCTGAGTATGATTCCACTGTGTATACACACCACCTCTTCTTTATCCATCCATCCGTTGATGGACACTTGGGCTGCTTCCATAATTTGGCTACTGTAAATAATGCCCCAATAAACATAGGGTTGCATGTATCCCTTTGAGTTAGTGTTTTCATATTTTGGAGGTAAATACCCAGTAGTGGAATTACTGGATCATGTGGTCATTCTATTTTGAATTTTTTGAGAAACCTCCATACTGTTTTCCATGGTGGCCGCAGTGGTCTGGTAGCATTTTCTTTTTAAAAAAACTGTTTAGTTGAAATGAGAAATGTGAAATCCTAATACTGCTACACCCTAAAAAGGGAAATGAGATATTACGTGGGATGACAGACAGTTAAGGCTTATTTCCATTTACTTTCCTCCCTAATTAATTAATTGATTAATTGACCAATCAATTAATTAGCATAGTAACCTCCCATAAAAGAAGATTTCTTTCATCCCCAGCTTCAGAGTAAACCTTGCTGGTTGTAGCTAGCTCTTGTTCCTCTCCCAGGTCAGCTTTCCGTGTGCATGCTGTGTGTGTGTGTGTGTGTGTGTGTGTGTGTGTGTGTGTGCACGCGCGCGCACGCACAAACCCTGGGCACTTAGGCCAGCCGCATCCTCCCTCATCCTCTGGCCTCTGGTGTCCAGGCCTGCTTTTTCAGCAGCATTCCTCCTTTCCTCCTGACTCCTCCTGGGCATCTCCAGTGTGCCCTTCTGCAGGTTCCTGATGGTTCTGCCCTGTGTTTTTTCCCACCTGCTTCCCCTCAAGTCTCTAACTCCTGGTGGGCTATTTGTGTTTGAGAGGGGTGAGTGGGTCGTTTCCATTTCTTTGAACGACCTGCCTGCCCAGGTAGACTCCTTGGAATTGCTCTCCTGCCTCCCTCCAAAGCAATGGGGTTTTGCCCTCAGGCATGTATGATGCTGAGCAAGCAGGCCTAGCCCAGTTGTGGGCACCCCTCATCTCCACGGCAGCATCTCCGGTGCTCTCCACCCCTCACATCCTTCTGCATCCCACGTCCAGTGCCAGCCCGATTTCCTCTGGGTTGTTTTCTGGACTTCTAGGCATTGTAGAGCTGTTGATTCCTACTTGATTTTCCTGTTCCGTTGCTCTGGCCCGTATTGAGATAAAGTTTTGCTCTTCAGCCCGTCGTATTTTCTTCAGTTTAGAGAGGAGTCTCAGAATTCAGGGCAAGTGTTCTTCTTTCCATAGGGAGGCCTGTTAAAATTTCTTCCCACACACACCAGGGCTATTGCAGCAACTTTGGAAAGGCCGTTCCTCCTGTTCACATGGAGATGGAATAGTTCTTGTAGTGAGCCATGCAAATTTGTGGGCACGGCAGAAACATTTCTTATCTGGTTAACCTTCAGATACTGGCCTTCTTAGATAACGTAATACAGGCAGTGATCCAAGTGTAATTTTTTGAAAGTAATACCACACTTAATGGAGAATATGAAGTTAACAAGATCATAGGTAGCTTTTTATTATCTATATATACTGTAATTTTAATAATCATCAAACCTTGCTTTTAGCTTTTGAAATACATTAATAATTTTTAATAATGTTAATTTGCATAGATGTGTGTGCAAAAGCTGCTATGTTTAAAGAACTAAAGATATATTACAATGAAAGCTCCTTTATAAACCTTAAGCCAATCCAAATGAAATTTGTAGATTTGAATAAAGTGGACTGAGCCTCTGGGTGCCTGGCCCCTAGGGTTTAGTGCTTTGCAAGTCATTTACATGTCATCCCAGCCTGTTTATTTTTTTATCTCCTCATAGCTCGTGGACTAAGCAAAATGTTGCTCTCATTAGTTTCCATCTTCTATAAATATAATCTCAAAGGCGAGGGGATAGAAAGGAAAGAAAATAAAGAATTGCTAAGAAAGAGGTTGTGCCTATAACACAGTGCTCTGCTTTTCCTAAGGCCTTTGCATTTTCCACTCCTTGAAAATGTTCCTTATTGAAGTGTTTTGTGATACACTGAAGCATCATATGTATCCATTCCCAGTTAAAGACCAGGACACGGATTGCCAGTAGCAAATGACGCATTAGATACACCACAGAATGTGTGGCTTGATTTGTTTTTTTCCGGTCTTAATACGTGGTTTAAGGTCAGAGCTTGCTTCAGGCCCTCTTGAACTTGGTTGTGGTGGCTCTCTTTGTGCACGGAAGCTCAAGGTCCTGTGGCGTGTTCTTTTTTGACAGAGCTGATGCTGTGTGAGGAGCTACATTCAATATTACACTTGGTGCTACAGGCAGGGAACATCATGAATGCAGTAAGTAAAATAAAAAAAAAAAATTAAGATGTTGTGTTTCTAAGTTTATTTGCCCATCTGAAGATATACGTATATATATTTTTTTCTGATTTGTCTTCTTTAGGGAGGGTATGCTGGCAATGCAGTAGGATTTAAACTGTCTTCTTTGCTCAAATTGGCAGACACAAAAGCAAACAAACCTGGGATGAATCTTCTGCACTTTGTTGCACAGGTATGTGGAAGTGGGAATTCAGAGAGAGAGAGAGAGAATGAGTGTGAGACCTCGCTGGGGAGGTTTTTCCCAGGTATTAGGTGGCATCCCACAGAGACAGGAGAGGACCAGGTGGGCTCCATGAAGGTTCTATTTGCAGAAGCACCCTGCAACTTCTGAGCTGAGCTGCCCAATGCCTGGGGCTGTAGACTAGGAGGGAAATAGAGAGGTTGGGGGAGGCAGGGGTCAGGGTTGGTGAGGCCCGATTAGGAAGGATCCACATCCTAAATACTGAGGAATCTGGATTCATGCTTTAGCAGTGGGGAGCCAGTGGAAGTCGGAGCCCAGGATAATGGCCTGGCCAGGTTGGCTTTGTTTTTCGGAAAATAAGGCACTGTGGGGGATAGGTGGGAGTGGAGAGAGAACTGGAAATGGGGCCCCTCTTGGCAGAAGGTGGCTCTCTGACGGTTTGGAGAGAGAGAGCTGAGACTCGGAGTCTCGGCCACAGGGATGGAGGGCAGAGGCCTGGGTGCTGAGACATTCCCAGCTTTGGGCTGACTAGATTTGTGACTGGTTATGTGTAGAGAGTGAGGGAGCCAGAACAGTGAAAAGGATCGCTTCCAGTTGTTCCGCTTTGTGAACTCTGAGGCAGGCTACCTTGTGACAAGCATGCGCTTGGTGTTTGCACCCTGGCCGTCACCTCCGATTCTGGCTGGGGCTCTGGGATACCAGAACAACCAGTTACAAAGTGAAAAGTCTGTCTGTTGTTACATTATCTCAAATTACGAATTGTACCACTTTGTTTTTCCTTCATTGGATTGCCTTTGTTGTTTTGATAGTCATCACGTAGATGTAGCTGTAAGCTGGGGAGGAAGTTGGGCTGGCTTCCAGTGTGAGCTTCAGGACAGGACAGAACTGGGATTTTGATTTGTCTTTTATTAGCTGTACTTCCTCAGACAAGTTCCTTAAACGTTAAGACCCTCAATTTCTTCCTCTAATCATGGGGCTAGTGATCCTTCCAAACAGGTAACCAAGAGGGCTGAAGGGGATAATTCCATAAACTGCTTACTTCAGTGTTCGGCCCATAGTACGTGCTCTATAAATAACACACATAATTATTACTGCATTCTTCAGAAGACAAAGGACATGTTGAACTCAGGACTCATTTAATAAGTTGATTTTCAGGACATTGAAAGCAGAAACTGTGTTCCGTATCCCGTGGGTCTTACAGCGAGTCTTCTGTCAGTCCCTTTATTTTATTTATTTATTTTTTAAAGATTTTATTTATTTATTTGACAGAGAGACAGAGAGCACAAGTAGACAGAGTAGCAGGCACAGGAAGAGGGAGAAGCAGGCTCTCTGCCGAGCAGGGAACCAGATGTGGGGCTCGATCCCAGGACCATGGGATCATGACCTGAGCCAAAGGCAGACGCTTAACAACTGAGCCACCCAGGCGGCTCTCTGTCAGTCCCTTTAGATCCATGGAGCCAGGTGCTATGTGTCACTTGGTCCCTACCCATGGGGGGACGTTTCCAGAGCTGGTAATTGCTCCCTTGGTATCCACCTTCCTTGTGTCCCCTGAACAGGTGAAGAATCCAAAGGCCTCCGTGGCTTGTGCACCTTAGGCTTAAACTCAGTTTGCAAACTGGTTTAACTGCTGTAGGCATCTCGTCACTTAAAGGCACCCTCACAGGTATGGGTGGTATTTAAGGAGGATGTATTGGATTCTCGCAGCAACAATGGGCCCTGCTAAGCCACCACCCACCTCCATTGAGTTTGTGTGCCCATGAGTTGTATTTCACGTCAGGATCGGTTGCTCTGGGAAGTTAAATATATCTGGAGAGTAGGGGAGTTCTGGTAAATCTTACTAACTGAGGAATATAAGAGTTCACGTTTCACTGAGTTGCTTTGAATAATATATCAAGCATAAAAACAAGAACTTTAAAGTCCCTTTCAGTCTTGGGATAATTGTTTCCTTCCAGTTTTATACATACAGTAGAGAAAATTCTGTTTTCATTCTAGGAAGCCCAAAAGAAAGATGCCATTCTTCTAAACTTTTCTGAAAAATTGCACCATGTTCAGGAGGCTGCTAGGTAAGTAAAGAAGACTGAAAATGAATTCTGAGAATTCACGGTTTTGTTTCAAATGACTTTTTAGATTAATTAATTGATTTGAAAAAGAGGGCGAAGGCATGAGCAGAGGGGGCGGGGGTGAGGGAGAGGCAGGCTCCCTGCTGAGCAGTGAGCCCGACATAGGACTCTATCCCAGGATCCTAAGATCAGGACCTGAGCCAAAGGCCCACATATAGCTGACTGAGCCTCTCAGGTGCCCCTAAACTACTTTTTAAGAAACTGGTGAATATTTTATAACTTTAAAACATTTTATAACTTTAAAGAGTTTTGTCTTGTTGAATTTTCAGACCTCCCTTTCATTTGCTCACAGAGGTGTGTGTGCACTTTTGGAATTTGGGGGTTTTGAAAAATTAATCTGTATTTTTAATCAAAAAAACACCATTGTAGTCGTTTTCAATGAATATCATCAGTGTAAAAACAATATGGATCAAGAACTTCAAATCCCTCCACACCCAAAGATAGAGCTCAAACAGCACAGCCTCTTACCTTGGGAGTTGGTATACATCAGTCAAACTTCAGGGCCGTTTCCTTGTAGAATCTAACATGGTACGTTTATTTTCTATTGCATTTGGAACCATACCAAGGGTTGGGAAAGGATTTTGTTTTCAATTAGTCACACAGCCTCACAGAGAAAGTATCTACCAGACATAAGGCTGTGTTTACATCACTTTAATTTGCTGCTGATCCCAGTATAGGTGTGCATTTTAATGTGGCTGTAATCTGTGTACACAAGCGCTTTTGAGTTCCATGTTTTTTAATTTATAGTATATATCCCTGTATTCGGTGGTATATGTTCAATAACGAGCTTTCCTGGAAAGAAGTCCTTGTTTGTAGCATTTGCTGATTTCCATGGTGTGCATACTGCTACCGTGGCAGATTCAAGCCACTGGTGTGGCCTCATTGAGTGAGGAGTCGGGAGGGGTGCCCACGCCCACAGCGGCCTCTTGCAAGCTGGCTCCAATGAACCACTTCCAGTCCTGTGCTTGCTATCTGAGGGATTATATCTGATTATAAGAGCTATGAACCCGATGCAGAAATACACCAATCATAGCTCTTCAAGCCAAGCCCTGTCATTGGCCAGTGTCTCAGTGTTACTGACTGTGAACATCTTACCACAGATGACATGTCTTTCCCAAAGTGAGCTTATTAGGCCAAAGTTGTGAACAGTTCATAGTTTCCATTTACAGAATTTCATATTCTCTCCTCTCCCGCAAAGAATGAGCATCTTATAAGATATAAACTGTTCTGGTTTTGAATTTCTAGAAGAAATTAGTGTGGTAATATTTTTTCCTCTGACTAGTATAGAAATATACTAATAAAGAAATAAACCATTACGTTTTTGAGCTGACATTTCTGGTCAGAGTTAGCTGGGGAAGTTTAGCTAGACACTGTCTACTGTGAAAATAGAGTTTGTGAAATATAATGTGAAAATAAAGTTCGTTTGGCTTCCCTGCACCACCTGCTCACTTTCCCCTTTCTTCTTGTAGATTATCTCTGGATAACACGGAGGCAGAACTGCACTCGCTCTTGATCAGGACAAGATCTCTGAGGGAAAACATTCAGCGGGATGGTGAACTCTGTCAGCAGATGGAAGATTTCCTTCAGGTTTGTGGGCGATTGGAGTCCATCTCTCTCATTTTGGCTTCCAGCTGCTCCTGCCAGGGCTGGTTCGGTCTGCAGGGCTTTGGGGAAGCAGAAGGTTCCCATTCATAATTTTTTCCCCTGGGTCAGTAGAAGGACCTCTGTATTTCAGTGCCCATTCTTTGCATGGTTGGCTTTCTAGAAGGGGCTGTCGAATGTGGTGTGAGCCAAGGGCTGGCCTCCGTTGATCGCCACGTGATCGACAGCAGCACACCGCTCTGCGGGGAACTGATACCAGCCTCTGGAGCCAGCACTTGGCAGCTGATGCCTGGTAACTCAGGTTTGGCTTCTCAGCCGTGGTGTAGGAGTTTTTGCCTCCTAATCAAATCTCTGGACGGCAGAACGAAGTTTCACGGAAACCGTAGACACCTGAAAACTCGGGCTTGTTTGTTCCCTCACTTGTTTTTATTGAAGAAACAAGCTACGTTTTGGCATGTTTTCTATCGAGAACGGGAGCACACAGGAGAGCTGTGCCTATCAACACCCCCAAATACATCAGCCCCACAGGGTGTGTCGGGAGCCGCTCTGAATAACATCAACAAAAAAACCAGCAGAGTGGACATGTTTGTGACAGCTCATTGTGACTCACTAATCACATAGTCTGACATACTTCTTTTATCTTCCTTATTTGAAAAACAAAAACAAAACAAAACAAAAACCGGTGGCAGCTTTTCATGCTTTCAATCTTCAGGGAAAGTGACAGGCTACCTTAAATATCAGCGCTTCGAGCCTTGCGAGGGGGCGGTGTGTGTGGCGGGGCTGCCTTTGGGGGCAGGAACAGTGTGCTCCGAAGGCTGTCCCACCTGAGCTTTCACTCATCGACTTGTAATTAAGCCACAGCAAGCAAATATTACACGTTTCAGCTCCCATCAGCAAACATTTCGTTTGGCTCTGGAGGGAGCATATTTTTATTCCTAAACATGGGTTCTGTATTCTCTTTCCACTATCACCAAACAGATACTCTCTTTTACATGCACAAATTTTTCCCAGAGTGAAACAACACAGCAGACATCACCACAGAAACACCTAGCCGTAAGTAAGAAAGCACTCAGCAGTGAGCACACATGAGGGAAAGCAAGAAACTGAGGGAGAAGGCCCATCCCACAGTGAGAGGAGCATTCTGGATGTCTCCTTCCCTGGCTCTTAAATTAAACATTCATATTTTATGCTACATAGCAGTACAGAAAGGCATCTGATGGAAAACAGCTCTGTCCCAGCTGCAACCCCGGAATGCTCTTTCAAGGCAACCTTGTTTTAACTCTAAATGTTTCTTTCTAGGAGTCCTTTTTATCTGTGTAAATAAAATGTTCCCAAGCAGCTATTTATTTTTCTTTTTTATATTCAGTTCCTTTTTACATAGGGGAGGGAGTGTAATTCTGTAAGGTAGGGTAGGCTCGGGCCATGAAGGGCTCTGAATGCCAGTCTGAAAACGGGACTGTGCTCTTAGCTATGGGGAAAGATTGAAGTCGTTTGTGGAGAAAAAAAAAACAAGAACGCAGCTTCGTAAATCTGACCCTCTGGGCAAGAAAGAAGGAGTAAATTGGTTTGGAACTTGGGTCTGGGGCAGGCAAGTGAGATGTGAAAAGTCGAATTTGCTAGCACAGCTGCTTGTCTCCTGTCGATTCCGCTTGGCCAATGTAGCTTTGGACTTTGTCATTTGGGGTCCTGACTGGGCAGAAAACTAACTTTGGCAAAAAAAAAAAAAAGAAAAGAAAAAGAAAAAACAAACCAAAAAAACCCCTCTGAGCTTGGTGATTTTCCACATCCACATTCAGAATGTCTCACTTTCCGGAGTCCTCAGGGTGACTGCAGTGCCTGTAAGTTTTTCCTTCCTGGTTCTCTCTCCATCCCCACTGGATCTAGAGATGAGACATGGGAGGTGGAGCTAAGCTCCCATGTAGGTTCTTGTCAAGAGTCCTATTTTTCTGCCGTTGAGTTATCTTTGGCTGGAATCCACCTTTCCCCCTGTGGAAGAATGACAGGCAAAGATTTATCCTTTCATGAATGCCCTTCTCTCCATAAAGAATAACAGAGCGTGAACACACACACTGCCTTGGGCTACTGACTCAGATGGTTACTTTCTCTGGTATTCGGTCTCCTAAAGGGTTTTGGTTTCTTACTACCTCTTGAATGTGTTTGGTGCAAGAAACGGACTTGCAAGGGGGAAAGTGTTTTGGAGTGGGAGGGAGGCGATGAGTCTCAGAATCGCTTGTCACTCTCCAAGCATGTCCCAGCAGCAGTTCCACTCCTTGAGGGTGGGCAGCCCATAACTTCATATTTCTGAGGCTTAGCCCTCCACTCAGAGGAAGTTTCTCAAATATTAGCCTTTTTAAAAACATGATATTTGTGATTTATTATGTACTTCACACATTCCTTCTTCATATAAGCCTTGTTCCCCAGTGGAACAGAAAGTAACGTGAGACTTGAGCGTGATCCTAAATATTCAGTTCCCACGGGCCTGTGGCTCCTCTAAGCGGCCGCTGCCTCATTTCAGCTCAACAGTGAATGTCACATGCTGCTGTTGGGGAAGGGTGCTTGTGCATCTCATAGCTCCCCAGCCTGAAAGGGTTGGCAGCCCACCAGAGGAAAGCACTCTTCTTTCATTTCTGCTTCCTTGTGGTGGTGGTACCTGAATCGATTTTTTTTTTTTTTTTAGATTTTATTTATTTGAGAGAGAGGAGAGAGAGGGAGAGCATGAGCAGGGGGAGGAGCAGAGGGAGAGGGAGAAGCAGGCTCCCCACCCAGTAGGGAGCCTGATGCGGGGCTTGATCCCAGGACCCTGAGATCATGACCTGAGCTGAAGGCAGACACTTAACCTTAGACTGAGCCACCCAGGTGCCCCGATGCCCTAATCTGTGGAGGCACTGGAGGTTTTGTCCTCAAAGGATTAGGAGAAAGTGAACATGAGAAGTGGATGGACTTGTAGGATGTAATAGTTACTAACCATCGGGACTCCTCAGAATCTCCTGGGGGTTGTAACAAAATATTAGTGGTAGTGAGGCACCTGGGTATCTCAGGTGGTTGAGCATCTGCCTTTGGCTCAGGTCATGATCCCAGGGTCCTGGGATCGAGCACCACATCGGGCTCCCTACTCAGCGGGAAGCCTGCTTCTCCCTCTCCCACTCCCCTGCTTGTGTTCCCTCTCTTTCTGTGTCTCTCTCTGTCAGATAAATAAAATCTTAAAAAAATATATTAGTGGTAGTTACACCTCAGACATACTGAATTGCGTGAGTTCTGTACAAGCAGGGACTGTGGACAGTGCTTCTGAGCTGACTCGGATAAGCACCCTGGTTAAGTAGCCTTGGCTGGGGCATGTGTCTGGGCACGGGGGCTTCCATCCTGTGGGGGTGATCCTGACCCTGACACAGGTCATTTGAGGTGAGGTTTAAACTCCCTCTCAGCAGCTTGTCCATACAAGGGCCTTCTGACATCCCGAAGGCCAGTCTCTAAGACTCATTTTTCAGAGAAGGAAGAACAGATGCAGAATGAGTTTTCCTCAATCAAACCAGCTCTTTACACCTATGTCATTTTTCAGTGACCGTTTCATCAGCGGCCTTCTGTAGAGGAAAGCTCTTTAGTTTTTTGGGTGGCCTCCAGGTCTCACACAGAAGTTCACCTTGCTTCCCCAGGGCTTTGTTTGGGTTGAAATAATTTCCTTTTGACTCGGAGGGTGTTAGACTTGCGGTCAACTTTCCCCTTTCCCCGAGACCTGAAGCTGAACCCGGGAGCGCAGGTGGTGCGCGCCGCGCCTCCTCGGCTGCCTTTTTCCCTCAGTGTGTGCTTGTATTTTCCCGCAGTTTGCTGTGGAAAAGCTGACAGAACTGGAGCGCTGGCAGCAGGAACTCCAGGACGAGGCCCACACCCTTATAGATTTTTTCTGTGAAGACAAAGAAACCATGAAACTGGACGAGTGCCTTCAGATATTTAGAGACTTTTGTGTCAAATTCAACAAAGCAGTTCAGGTATGGCTGATGGCATCTCCTGTGTTTTCTGAGTGGTGTGGGGTTTCAGTTTTCCTCTTCCAGACCCAGCCCTCTGCCTTTGGCAGAAAGATGGTTCGGCACTTCCACGGTTTCAGGGAAGGCTGGCGTGGGCAGCACCGCCAGGCTCTCGGTTGGGATTCGTCTGGCCTCCTTGGAGGCTGTGCTGCTCGCACCAACACTGGCTTTGATGCCCCGAAAGCATTGTGTTAGTCACGTTTATTTATGATGGCAGCCCTGATACTAACAAATCTCTTTGAAGGCCCTGAACGTCTTCCTCATCACCCCCACCGCTCCCAGGAAAGAATTTCCTCTTTCACGGAGACCTGTGTTGCGGTGGGAGGATGGGAAGGCCTTCTCTGACCTGTTTCAAGCACCACGGCCATTGCCAGGCGGCTGGTGCCACGGGGACCATGCTGTGTCCTCAGCCAGAGCTGGCTTCGAAGTTCTCCAGTAGTTCGGAGTCTCCTGCTGACAGGGACACAGCAGCATTTCTTGCCCTTTGACCTCCAGTTCCAGGAGTCCCTGAGTTCAGTGTAGGAGCCAGAGAACTCTGGGGCGCTTGGCTTTGCAAGTACAACTTTCATCTGTCAGTTAAAAACAAAACAAGATCCCTTCACTTCAGGTGGTGAGGAGGAGCTACATACTTGTGCCTTATCCCTTTCCCTGTATTTTTTTTTTAAAGATTTTATTTATTTATTTGAGAGAGAGAGAGAGAGCATGAGTGAAGAGAAGGTCAGAGAGAGAAGCAGACTCCCCGTGGAGCTGGGAGCCCAATGCAGGACTCGATCCTGGGACTCCAGGATCATGACCTGAGCCGAAGGCAGTCATCCAACCAACTGAGCCAGCCATGCGTCCCCCTTTCCCTGTATTTAAAAGCAGGCTTGCCCGCAGCTGAGTTTCTTGAGTTCTCAAGCCTTCTTTTCTCTCTGCAGCTAAGTGAAGGAGGCTAAGCCTGCAGCCACGTTTCCTCTCCCTTGTCCAAGCAGTGAGCTCAGCAGTGGGAGGTGGTTGTGGGAGGTAGAGGCCAAATTGGCTCTTTCTGAGGCTCTCACTCCCTGTCAGAATTCGGCAGGCCCAAGAGGCCACCTGCGTGATTCTTTGGGTCCAGCTGTCCTGAGCGCCAGGAGCTGGCCCCACTCCCACCCCCACCCTGGGCAGCCTTGGAGGAGAGGGCCTGGGGGACCTGGGACACTGGAGAGGCCGAGCCAGAGCAGAAGGAGGGGCCGTGCATCCCCAGCCAGAGCCTCACAGAAACTTGGAAGGGAAATCCACCATTTGAGGAAATTGATTTTTGAGTAAAAAGTGCTATCAATAACAGATTGGGGTTGTGGGATCCACACATTTAGGTGACACAAATATATTTATATGTTTTCTAAAAGATGTTTTATTTGAGAGAGAGATCATACATGTGCACGAGTGATGGAGGGGCAGAGGCAGAGGGAGAAGCCGACTCCTGCTGAGCTGAGCAGGGAGCCTGATGCGGGGCTTGATCCCAGGACCCTGGGATCATGACCTGAGCCAAAGGCAGACGCTTAACCAACTGAGCCACCCAGGTGCCCTACAAATGTAGTTAGAGTGCACAGCCAGGGGGTAAAGTGTGCTTTAGTATGTGCGTTTGTTCTGGTTTGGCTTTGTGGGGGGAGGGCTGGGTACTTGGAGCAGGGCGAAGGGTGGTGGAAGGATTTGTAAAGCAAATCCTCCTGTCTGATTGTGGGAGCGGGGTGGGGCATGAGGGACAGAGCCATCCTGGCATCTCTGGGGTTTCCTTACCAGGGAGCGTTCAGAGAGCAGAGATTTGACTGGCGTCTCTTCGTATCTTGGGTATATACTTACGCATCCAAGCCATTAAGTAGAATGTGCTGCACATGTGTGTGCATGTGTAGCTGTATTCAACACAGAAGCAACAGGGAGGTATGGTCTCAGGTTCCTTTTTTTTTTTCCTCTCCCTCTCTCTGTCCTTAACTAAATAGCCTTTTCCTGGAAGTCTTTGCTATCATGCCCTACTTAGAAGCCAAGCTGGGTTCCTTCGGAGTTGAGGTGGCAGGCATGTGTGGAATCACAGCCCACACTTAGGGGACAGTGCCTTGACCAGAAAGCTGTAAGTTGGGTCCATGGATCCGATGAGAACCTTAGGTTGGTGGGGTCCTCTCCAGGCAGCCCTCTCCACACCCACCTTCTTGCAAACAGAGAGCTAGCCCTCTCCACACCCACCTTCTTGCAAACATGTGATTGTCTTGGTGAAGTTTGGGACCCAGGCTGTCCTCCATACCTGTTTCTTGAGGTCTTAAGGCAGGCGGCTGTGGAACTGCACACAGGTCCCACGGGTCTAATGCATCTTGGGGCTTCTCTCCACCCCTCCCTCAGGACAACCAGGACCGGGCAGTGCAGGAGCTGAGGAGGCTGCAGCGGCTGAAGGAGCTGGAGCAGAAGCGTCGCTCCTGGGCGGCTGGGGAGCTTGGGGGGTTCTGCCGGAGCAGCAGTGAGAACGACGTGGAGCAGCTGACTAAGAAGGGTGCGGAGGACCTGTCCCCCTTCCTGCAGCCCAGGCCCGTCAGTCCCTCCTACCGACCTCCCAACACACGCCGCTCCCGCCTTTCCCTGGGTGCGTTTGCGGACCGGGAGCTGCTGACCTTCCTGGAGAGTTCCACTGGCAGCCCCGAGGAGCCCAGCAAATTCAACAGCTTGCCCCGGAGCAGCACCCGGCTGGCCCGGCCCACGATGGCCTGGTTGGAGCCCGAGGACCGGAGAGCCCAGGACCCCAGCGGAGCACAGACACCACAGGCCTCAGAGGGCCAGCAGGGGGCCCCCGAGCCACCCTCATCTTGGCAGAGCCAGCAGTTCCTGGCCCCCAGGCCTGAAGACCCCACGCCCCCAATCCCCCGAGTTCGGCGCAGTGGGGTGGGCATCCTCCGAAAGAGGAATAGTGAGCCGGTGGGCCTCGTCCCGGCCCGATCCCCTCCACTCTCACCATTGGCTCTGGGGATTAAGGAGCACGAGCTGGTGACAGGGCTGGCTCAGTTCGACCTTCAGGGATCCAAGAGCCCAGAGGAGGTGCCCCGATTGACCCTGAATGACCTCAGTCCCGTGGAGCTGGCGTCTCTGGGGGATGGGAGCGTGCAGTCCCTCGGTGCCAACCACGACGGCCTGATGCCTGTGGACAAAGGTGTCCCGGCTGGTCTCACCCCAGCCTTGGAAGGGGATGAGGCTGCCCCCGAGGATCCTAGCAGCAAGGCTGTAGTATCTGTGGGCAGCAGCGACCCTGACAGCAAAGACCCTGGGCCTCTGTTCTACATCTCCGATGCCACCGACTGCTCACTGACCCTGGACTGCTCGGAGCCGGGGGAGGTGGCCGGGGCGGATGGCTCCCTGTCCTCTGGCGCTGGGGAGACGGGCAGCCAGGTCTCCTCTCACCCCACTTCCAGCCCCCTCGGGGAGGCTTCGGCTCCAGTCTCTGGGAAGAGCCACCCCTCCTGCAAGGACAGCCTTCCCAAGGACAGACCCGCCAAAGGGAAGGATGTGATAGCACCGAAGAGAAGCTCCCTCAAAGAGGCGTCTCAGGGGACCTCGAAGCCCGCTAGTGTCCGGCGGAGCCAGGGATCCCAGGGGGCGGCGCCCAAGCCTGTGAGGACCTTGACCGCCTCTGAGAGTGAGAGCATGCGCAAAGTCGTGCCCATCTCCAGGTCGAGCCGCGGATCGGTGGGCTGGAAGCGGCCCCCTCGGGAGACCCCCAGCAGCACAGACGCACCGTGGTCGCGCCGGAGCTCCATGCGGGGGACCTCAGACGTGTCGCCCAAGCGGTCCTCGGCGGGGGCAGCGGCGGGGACGGAGGAGCAGAGGCTGGCGAGGGTGAGCAGTGGCTCCGGCAGCGCTAGGTCGGGGAAGGACCCCCCCCTGCAGCAGAAGGGCTCTCTCAAGAAGCCCAGCGCCAAGCCCCTCAGGAACGTCCCCAGGCAGAAGCCCGACGAAAACAAAATCTGCCACTCCAACTCCCAGGAAGAGATCCCCGAAGAGGAGCCCAAGGCCCCGCCGGCCCCCAGCGTCCCCCGCGTCCCGCCCCCTGTGCCGAGCTTTGCCCGAAACACAGTTGCCTCCTCCTCTCGGTTCATGAGAACGGATTCCTCTCCTGTGGCCAAAGCCCCCGGCATCATTCGGACGGTTTCCCAGCGTCAGCTGAGGCCCAAGGGTGGCCCTGAGGATGCTGCCCCCAAGGACAGCAGCACCCTGCGGCGGGCCAGTAGCGCCCGGACCCCCAAAAAGTGTCCAGAGTCTGCTGGGGCTCCCAGTGCCAACACAGAGGCCCCTGGGAAGGGCCGGGGGGCTGGGGAAAGGGCCTCCCTCAGACTGAGGAACTCCGATCAGACCACGCTAGGGAAAATCCTCCATCCCTTACGGAAGTGAAGTCTGATCGTGAGGACTGACTCCTGGGAAGGGCCGGCACCGAATGTCCTTGTTCCGCATAAGTGATCCACGCGTTCCGCCGGCTAACGCTCATGTCACCAGAGGTGAGGTCCGGGAGGCCTGTGGACCGCCACCGGCTGCGCTGACGTCTACTGTAAAGTCCCAAGTCTGGGCGGCTGCCCGCTACTCTTCACTGCTGGCATCTCCCTCCCACACCCTGGAGGAACCCCCTCCCCTCCATGAAGATGTGTAAGCTGACAGTCTTCCCTACAGAGTTAAAAAACAAAAACAAAAAAACTGGCCAGTTTTTATATGTCAAGCTTATTTTTAAATATTATAAAAATGAAGTAGTTTATTTAGTTCCTTTTGCAGAACGAAATGCCTCCTAGGAAAAAGAGACAAAACCCTGAACAAGAAGACATTTTTATTTTCCTGTGTTTCCTGGTCTCAGGGTGCCTTCCACCTGCCCACATCCTGTCCATTGCTGGCAGCCGGACTTCTCTGCAAGCCCTGGGTGTTCTGTGATTGGCACCGTCTCCCTGAAGGCGCTCTGCCTTGCTCACCTCTCCGTGTGTGGCTCTGGGTGAGGGTTTGCGTGTGAGCAGGAGGGGAAGTGAGACTGGTGGATAGAAATCGGATGCTCTCCTGTTTTCAGGGCGGGCACCGGGGCAGTGCCTTCCCTGCAGACGAACAGCAGCCGCTGGCAGAATGCCGGATCTCCCCGAACTTAGAAGGGCCATATCTTCATGGAGAGGCATCAGGGGCTCTTCAGCGGAGCACACCTTTCCCTTCCGTGTTTTCCCATTTGTGTATCTGTTCTGAAACTGAGTGAAGGCTGCTAGGACTTGGGTTCGCTCTAGTTAGGGAAGAATAAACCCTTCTGTGTCCCAGTCTCGTCCCTCCCTCCTCTCTCTGCCCGCAGCCAGCCCTTCCTTCCCTTGTTAACCCGATGTGGAGCCTGGAGAGGCTGTGTATCTATGTCACTGATGATACTTCCTAACGCTGACATGTCTCCTTCCGTAAAGTGGTTTTTAAATACCGAGAAAAACCAAATCACAGACCAAAACAAAACAATTTCCGATTTTATGTAATCAGGAAAATCTTGAAAAAAAAAAAAAGCTTTATTCAAAAGAAAGAAGAAAATATGTGCTGTTTCTACTCACTGCCCATTTCACAGCTTCCTTTTGAGACTAATTAGGGAATGAGAGGATTCTTGAAACTTTCTTGTATTTAAAGTTGCTTCCTGCCTTTTTTCACTTTTGGTCACTTATTGAAACTTTAGTGAAACCTTATTTTAGACCCAACAGTGGTAGATGGATTTCAGGGAATCCATGTGCTTGATGTTACAATCTTCCTGCTGTAGAATGTTGCCTTCCATCCAAATAAATTGAAACTGAGCTTCCATACGTCCGCTATATTGAAATGGTAAACTTCATGGTTAAAAAGTAAGGCACTTGACCACAAAACTTCTTATAAAAATGGCCTTAGGTAGCTATTTCCTGGGCCCCACAAAGATGGTTATGGGAATCCTGCACTGTTTTTTACCATCTCAAAAAGCCTGAGAAATCATGTATTTAACCATGCAGACAACAATGTCCAAAACATAGGGCCTATGGGTGGGTGGAAATGGATGAAAGAGATCAAAAGTTGGTGGGTAGTGGGGCACCTGGGTAGCTCATTCGGTTAAGCAACTGACTCATGGTTTTGGCTCAGGTCGAGATCTCAGGGTTGTGGGACGAGCCCCACATTGGCCTCCATGCTCAGCACAGTCTGCTTGTGATTCTCTCGTCCTCTCTCTCTGCCCCTCTCTTCATTCCTAAAATAAATCAGTCTTAAACAACAAAAACAGAAGTTTGTAGATAGCAATGGGGTCAGGACCCCCACATAGGACCCTGTCCGTGCTCTGTCGCTGATGCTATGTGACTTTGGCCAATCACCACTCCTCCTTCAGCCCCTGTTTCCCAGTCTTTGGAAGTGGGCGCATGGCCTCAGTGGTGGTTTCTAAGGGTCCCTCCAGCTCCAAGATTTGAGTCATTTTAAACAACCAAGGACCTATCTGCCCCAGGACCAGCTTTTCGGAACCGACCCCCAGCACCTGCATAGCAAAGGCCTCATGTCAAAGGCCTGCTCAAAAGAAAGCACCTTCAGAACTTGCTGTTGCTTTGGAATCTAATAAGCTGAGTTTCTTGAGAAGCGGTGTTTTACTTAGCCCTATGGACCCTATGTGTATGCATCTGTATGAGCAGGTGATCATTCTATTACCTTTTATTGGTAGTAAGCTTTGAAAAATAATTTAAGTATATAATGGAGAAATGTAAATAAATTTCTATATAAATTTGTTTAAGATGAACTGAATGTATTTAAAGGTCCATTTATATGTTCTTTTATGTAACATGTAGTTTAATAAAGTTCCTGTTTATGGGAGTTTCTGTTTCATCCTCAGCTTACTCTGTTGATGTACGTGTGTGTGTGTGTGTGAGAGAGAGAGAGAGAGATCCTGGTGGAAGAATATATAATTTCCTGCACACAGAAAGGCCCAGATGCAGGAGGGGCAGCAGGTTTGAGATACAGTGGTCTTGTCCTCAGAAGGCACAAGAGCCAAACTGGGCTGTTGATGTGCGTCTTCTCGGTAGCCCGGGACCCATGTTGAACTGAAGGTCTAGAGCACGGGCCTGGCGCCAGGCCTGTGGGAAGGCAAGCATGCATCCGACAGGCAAGCCATCGATGGAATGTTCACCTCGTACATGCTCGCATTATTCCATGTTTGGGGCCAAGATTTGTGTAATCTCTGCGGGACCAGCAAGTCTGGATCTGCTCCTATGTGTCCTCATGCATGTTGGCTCGGGACAGTATTGGGAAATCACAGCTCGTTTCTTCGTTTCGGCTGCCTCAGGAATGCGCAGAGAGGGAGGGAGGAGTGATTTTATTTGAAATGCAGTGCTGGTGCTTACAGGAGAAGAAAGGGGAATTGTTTGGAAGATGCTCCTCACACCTCGGGGCTTCCTATCAAGAATCAGTCCTGGCTACTCTTGCACTTCATCTGAAGCGGTTTAGACAATCCCAGGGTCAGGCACCAACAAGAGCGTGAATGAGGGGCACCTGGGTTGCACAGTTGGTTGAACACCCAACTCTTGCTTTCGGCTCAGGTCGTGATCTCAGGTTTGTGAGCCCAAGCCCTGCATGGGGGCTCTGTGCTCAGCGTGGAACCTGCCTGAAATTCTTCCTCTCCCTCAACCCCTCCCCCTGCTTGTGCGCTCTCGCTCGCTCTCTCTCTCTCTCTCTCAAATAAATAAATAAATATTAAAAAAAAAAGTAGAGTAGATGATGTCCTTGTGAGTGGCTGTCTGCCCTGCAGGCACTGAGAGCCTGGTTTTGCCTGTTATAAGCTGATTGGGCCATTGGACCCCTTCCTACACCTTCAGCCTGTTATATCAGGTTACTGACATCAACCAAAAAGAAGACTATTTTCACAGTGGGTCTCAAGTAGTTTTCTTTTTATCCTTTTATTTTATGGCTTTCACAAGGAATCTGTGTTCCAGTTCCCCTGAAGAGACATGTTGAGTTTAAAGGGGCCACAGTTGTTCCCAATGGTTCATTCAAAATTCTGCTTCTTTATGCATTATGGTGGGAGGCCCCAGAATAGTTGGGTGGAACTATTAATTCAGCTCTCCAAAGTGTACAAATTCACCAACTTCTGCCTCTAGGGGTACAATATCCTACCTCCTTCCATCTGGCAATGATGATATTTTGCAATTTCATAGAATTTTCTATTGAAACTTAAACTTTTAGTCTCCATATATATATATATATATATATATATATTTTTTTTTTTTTAAGTAAGCTCTATGTCCAGTGTGGGGCTTGAACTCATGACCTCAAGATCAAGAGCTGCGTGCTCTACCAGACTGAACAGCTAGGCACGCCTCAATTCTTATACCTTTGATTCACGTTCCAATCCTGCCCCCACAGTGAAAAAATGAAGAGATTTTTGTTTTGTTTTTTTGGTATGTGTCCTCAAACACATATAAGCATGAAACATACAAACCAAATTAGAATAAGGGACATTGCATCTGGTTATTCACTAAGTACTTTTTTTTTTTTTAAGATTTTATTTATTTGAGAGAGAGAGAGAGAGCAGGGGGAGAAGCATGGGGGGAAAGACTCTCAAGCAGACTCTGCTAGCTGAGAGTGGAGCCCAATGCCGGGCTTGATTTCACAACCCTGAGATCATGACCTGAGCCAAAACCAAGAGTCGGATACTCTACCCACTGAGCCACTCAGGGACTCCATTCACTAAATACTTCTTAAAATTATTTGGGCTGTGAACACACACAAAAATGGAGGCCAGTGGATTGGCGGGGTCCCTCTACTCAGCGTCTATGGAGTAAACTCACATAGCTTGGACTGAATTTATGGCATGGTTGAAAATAACCCAGAGAGTGCTTTCCCTGGGGGAGGTCCCCATTTGCAAATATCTTCCAGTAAAGTGCCTTATGGCTCACTGGATCACCTCAGGAAGACAAAAGTAACATTCCCATAGTGGAAGAAAATGGCTTTTCTGTCTTCCAAGACACAGCTCTTCAATGAAGTTTGGCTTCCTGGTTGGTTAGGTAGGACAGGTGGACACCACTGCAGGTGAGGTCACAGCCACGGGCAGCACTCACAGGCCAGTTCTTCATGGGCCCTCGACCCAGGGCCTACCAGGAGCAAGGTAAAACCTCACTGTCAGCCTGTGGCACGAAGGTGCGTGGGTCTTTTAATGAGGATCTGCTTGAGGTTCCTATTGATGCATTGATGCCAGGCCTTTGGAATCAGGCCTGGAGTTTGCCCCCAACCTCCCTGGAAACACACAAGGGCTGAGTCATAAGCCGGTCATATTCCCCGAGCCTGCTTGCCAAGTAGGTGACGAAGAGTTGAGAATGCACTTTCCCAGAGCAACTATGTCACACACTGTAGGTAGGTTTCTAGGCCAACTCACACAAAAAAACCTATTTAACTCA